TTTCCCATTTTCAATTGAAGAAAGCTTTTTGGTTCCAATTAGTGGTGGCAGGAGGAACTCACCGAATTTTAAAACGGCATGCTAAATCTTAAAATATACTATTCATAACAAAATAAAACAAATATCTTAATGTGTTATTTTTATTTGTTATATGTTTATGGGAAAATTAAGATTTATTTTGATGCTGTTTTTGCACGAGTTGATTTATTCAAACGAAACATGAATCTATGTTTGTAGCGTCTGTATAACATGTGATCCTCTCAAAAAATTTGCAAGATTCGCTCATAAGCCAATGAGCTACGCAACCATTTTAGTGAATAATTATCTTCTTCAATGCGGGAAGTGCAAACAGTTTAGCTGTTATTATAACTTCCATATCTCAACACTCGAACATCAATTGAGTAAACACTTTTGACAAGAAACAATTTAAAGACTGATGGGTTTGTTTCACTTTGATGTTCCTCACATCTGAGAAGTCAGCTAAAGTGCTATTAAAAACTATTAAGATTTCTGCCAATTGTAATAAAATAAAATGTGTTTTTTCTGAAATGCATTACAAATAATACAGGTGTGGTGGATCGCTACGCTAGTAAAGCCTGACTGTCTCTGAAATCTCTATGGCAGATTCTCCAACATCTAGCTACACTCCCAGAACCAGCTAAGCTATAGCCCAGCTATAAAGGAAACGGACGTGTAGCACGGAGCACGTTTATTCAGTGAGTATATTGCGGATCAAGCGTACACGCAGGGAGCTACTCATGATCAGGATTGGGGATTAGGTTAAAGAGAGGTTAATGTTTGGTCACTGTTTGTACGGTAACACCTCCCAATCCTGGCGTGCTGGCATGCGATGACGTGTCCTACAAGTTCAAATATTCAAATTTATTGATTTGCCCCTCCCCCTCATCATATAAATGATTGAAATTATGTCCCCTATATTAGCATCTTACTGGCCGATTAACTTAATTGTGTCCTTAGTCATGTTGCCATTCTTTTTATAGTCGAAGCAGTAATTCGAGGCAGGCATTTAAGCTTTCCATATATAAGATTATTATTGTTCATCGAAGGTTAATTCAGTTTTTGTGTAGTGTTATTGTCATTTACTCTCGAATCTTTGACCTCAACGTTCAAATGTTGTCGTTTCGATATCGCTGTAACAATATGAGAAGTTTCTTTGGGACCAGCATACTAGGCAACTTGTAGTGTATCACATTGCTGCTGACTTGCCATTTTTCGATCCAATTACTTGATATTGATTGATGGTTGTGTCAAGCTCTTTCCATCTGATGTGACATGCTTGAATTTAATAGCTCTACGATTGCATAATTTTTCATTCAGCCCTCTTCCAATTTAGGCTTTGCATGCATGCATGCGTGCGTGGTCAGTCGTTAAGAGGAAGTAAGTATTTACTTACTTCTTAGTTATACATTAGAATAGCTTTCTGAATTTCCACCTCTGCGGGTGTTGGATTTACCTCTCTTGTGTCGTGTTTTTTTTTAAATTAGCAGTTTTTTATGTTGTCATTTATTTCATCTATACAATTCCTACAATGAGTGATATTATCCGAGATTCTAAGAAATAATTATATTCACTGTGCATATCCATGCGATCGGGTTATTGGTTCGGCTTAGTCCATAATTTAAAGGTAGAGAGAATATATGTGCCCATCGGTCAATTTTTTAGCGGTTTTATTATGTGATTCATGGTTTGCCACGAAGGTTTAATTAAAATTATATATTCAGTGTAAATTGAAGTTTCATTTGTTGTTATTAGGCTTGTCTGGTGGGCGGTGATGAAGACGGGCAGGTGAAAAGTGAAGTCGGAAGCTCAGTGCAGAAGATCACATTTCTCTACAACTTCGTGCCTTCTGCTTGTCCAAAGAGCTACGGCTTCAATGTCGCCCATTTGGCTCAAATCCCTGATGAAGTAAAGTGACTATTTTACAATGATTTCACCAATAATAGTAACCATAGCTACTACTCTATACCACATTTACTACAGATTATCAACAAGGGCATTGTGATGGCCAAGGAGTTTGAGAAGTCTACTCTGGTTTTTACTTGTCTTCGGTGAGTTCCTCAGCTTTATTTAATATCATTCGCAATTAGGCTCAAATATTCACCAGATTTAAGTCCGACTCAATCATTCAACGATTTTGAATGACCTTTTAAGCATAATCCTTTTACGATCCGCATAATTTAAAACACCTCTTGAAGTAAAGTAGTTGGGTCATGGTGCAAAGTACTTAGGGCTGTGATTCCAAATCCACAGCCCTGCTATGTCATCTTTTGCCAAGTTAATGAAAGATAGGAGATAGAGGTCATAATTAGCCATTAAATTATAAATCTGATCAAGAAATTAAATTTTCCGTTGGTGGAAAATAGAGAATATCTAAACCCGATAGGAAAACTGTTCACAGCACTTGATTTGTGTTAAGGAAAGATATCCTCAACCCCTACATCGAGAAAACCATCTTTTGACATTCCTCTTGTTGACCAGAACTAAATGCGGCTTGCCATCCTTGGTAGGGGATGTGCCCCGACAACAATAATTGATAGCATGACCTGTGTAATTTTGCTGATCCCTACGCCTTCTATGTAGGGACGTTCTATCGGGAAAGATGACTCGCGAACAGGCTCAACTTTGGCGTATGAAATTGGCGAATTTGAGTCGCGAGAAGATGTACGGTCGCTCTGACCAAAAGTGCACTTAGAATTATTGATGAATTTTCCTTATTCCTGAAAGTTAATCCTATTTTTATACATCATGCTTTTTACACGCGCTCACAGCTTTTATATCCCACTTATAAATCCAAATAAAGCTCTATTTATAATAGTCGTTTTGACTGAACTTTTGTGTATAGTGTATATATTTGTTATAGCCAATGTTGAAAACGCCCAGAAACGGGCGCGCTAGATACTGGTTTGGGTATTTTTTTTCATTAGTTGGTCCATCCTAATTGAGTTATTCATGCGAACCAACTATTTCATGCCTGTGCAAAATAACACATTCCAGTTACATCTCAAATTATCTAACCTCTGACTATCGAAGCCTAATGGCAGTAAAAAGTTTCCCAAATGTAAGGTGTTACAGTTGAAGCAGAAGAGCGACGCTTCTATACGCAATCAGTGTATGAAGTTGTGATTGTGTTTTTAATGAACAAAAATGGTTTTATGAGCACCTAGAAAGGATAAATGTGGGAATATTCCATCTAACACCTGAGTTATGATATTCGAGGTGATCTAGACCACGCTCAATTATCCCATCTTTCACCAAATACATTGAATTCCAGTCCGTCTGACCTAGATATTGCACTTGTTTATTCTTGGCAAGTATTCTTAACCCCTTGATCGGTGATACTTCAGCCGTAGCCCCTTCCTTAAACACCTTTAGCAGCCTGATATTACAGCGACTATGATTGGTCAAGAGATCGATTATTTTTTTCTGGGTTGTTAAATTCAAAAGGGAAGATCACAGAACCTATCACCTAGACCTACGATTTTTTGCGTATATCATAATCCTAACGGCTTTCCCTGAAACTCCAATTCATACACCAATCGATTTCCTATTCTTCTCATTAGCCTCACACTTGTAGTGAAAAACTGATTTCGTACAGCAGTCGGTTGGGTTCTGCACTTGTGACTTCCATATCTCTGTTTTAAGCCTTTCAAAAACCCCGCACAATCGTATTTACAAAGATGTATTTTTCAAAATAAGTAATCTGTATCTCAAAGAAAACAAGATGACAGAATCATTACAAATTGCCTTGGCTCCGTACATTTTTTAAACTTTATTAGATAAATAAGTCAAGCATTTGTACAAGCTGTGTGAAAAGTGTAGCAGATAATTCACGAGAAAAAAGCTCAATGCAATATAAGCAAATAATTCTACTCATACAAAATAAGCGGGAAGACGTCATGAAGAAATTCTATTTTCTATTTCGAGGCAGTGATTGGTAGTGGCGATGGAGGTGATGAATGATGATGAGAAGGCGTAGAGGCCATTTCTAGTGCTCGCTGAATACTCCAGATAGCCAGAGGTCGCATGTAGCCCAGCGATCGATAGGTTCCATCCTTAGTATATGCTTCTGGAGTTTGGAAATGCAGACCCATCTTATTGCAGACATGATCGAAGCATGCTCCTGCTAGTCGAAAGCCTTCTGACCGCATTCCCTTCAAGGAACACAGACCTCATTATTTGTCCCTCTTTGTGTATTAAGAGAATATGTGGCTTTGGACTTACATGAAGGATTAGAAGACCTCCGATACTATAGTTCACAGCGACCCAGAATTCCTCCGTTTGCATGTTATCATTATCGGCTTTACCGTTGGATAGAATGCTGTTAATTGCTCCAATGTGACCGTTTTGAATACTGAGCCAATTCAGTTTAACGATGGTTTTCAGTGTTTCATTTGATGATTCCGCGGGCATAATCTAAAACATTCAACACCAAGATTGTCTATGAAATCAAAGAAACAATAACAGATTAAGTAGAGGAAAGTTACGGCATCAATTGGAGCACCCCCCATTCTCAAGAACCAGTATCCGCTCAATTGATCAGCCATTACAGCACTTGAACGCGAATTTGGTTTAACTGTGCTATCGTATCGGTAGAATTTGCCTGTAATAAACAAAAAAAGTTATAATCGGCTATCGTCAATTTAAAAATAACATTAAATACATTTCCAGAGTGGAGACACTCACCGTCCCAAAGCTCCCTTCGATAAGCATCCTTTGCTCGTTTCAGAAGCGAAGAGAAATTATCATCAATCGGAGCCCATTTACTGATTGATCCCATACGTGAGTTGAAGTCTTTTGCATGACTCAACATGTCGGAAACAGCGTACAACGCCGCTATCCACAATCCACCGACATAAGCACTAAATGATAAAAGAGGATTATTACCTAATAATAAACAAGCAGGAATTTCGAAATCGTGTTCATTCATACCTCAAGTCTTTAGCTTTCCACATGTCGTACGTTTGATCAGGAAAGTTGGAGTTCTCAATGATTCCATCACCGTCTGTATCCCACTTCTCCAGACATGACCTTGCGACAGCCTACAAATAAACAGATATTATTACTACTGATATTTAATAAGTAGCACAGATTAATCATTGATCCATTTACCAAGCAGATTGGGAGAACATACTGCAGGAAAGCAGTATCGCCAGTAAGTTTCCAATCTCTCCATGCCATGAGAAGGAACTTCGGTGAAAGATCTTTCCAATCATCAGTGGGATACATGATATAGGCATTTACATTGACCCAAGGTTCATCTTCGGGATCACCAAGATCATGTGGGACACTCAATTGGGCATTCCGTTGTCTTTTCATGCCCTTGTACATAAAGACAACTGAAGTAGTATCTTCCGAGGCAGTCATATCGGCCAAATCGTAGAGCATCGCCATCTCGATCTTGGGCCATAGTTGAATCAGAGCCCAGGAAGCATTGAAATGAACATCGTAGGTGTTGAACATACGGTATTCGTGACCTACACAGGAAGAATGAGTTAAAAGAACTTAGTCTTCGGTAAACGAATAAGCTTTTGGACTGCTAATAGTCGCTTCAAGTCAGTAGATTTTAAGGATAATTGGAACGAAAGCATTCAAGAAGTAGCCAGTATGGTCAAACCGCCATGGTTAAAACATCGAACAACGGCAATCCCTGTTTCTAAAAGCTCGAATCTCCAACTCAAAGTATTTGGAGCGAAGACGAAGAAGCTGTCAGCTGTATGCAAATGTTTGCCGAAAAGAAAGCAATGGCTCTTGTATTAAATATAGGATCAGGGTTTCTCTGGTACAATGATTATCAAGGACATCGAGAGCACAATTTTTGCGCCTGTTTTTTAAGCCTTAAAAACGACGAGGGTGGATGAAGCGCCACATATCAGTATGTCATTCGTTTTGAAAACATCGAATTTCGGAAAACCCCGGTAATTCATATTCTTCTGAGATGAGTAATGAGAGTAAAATATCGAAGAGCATGAATCAAATCTTCCTATTGCTGTCGGTAAAACATACCAAACAATATTTATTTATTTCAAATGGCAGGCTTTATGATATTTATCATTAGCCCTTAATCTTTGACTTCAGCTTCCCCCAAGAGGGAGGGGGGGGGTACATTTATAGCAGTTAATTAGCAGTCTTCTTGCTTCCCAGTATTTTTGGCTTTCCGTGCTTGTCTTTAGGGCTGGACACCGAATCAGGAGGGTCTTCTCCATTTCCTCCTGTAGGTTACATAGGGGGGGCATGTGGGTTGAGTGTATACTCCCAATCTGTGAAGGTGTTTTGCCAAGCAATCGTGTCCGGTACGTAGTCTAAACTCAGCAACGGCTTCGATTCTTGGCCAGTCG